GCTTTCAGGCAATCCATCTGTTAGCAACCAAAAATCAAGCATTAATTAAACATAAAGACCTAAACATGAAGCCTTTGGTCTACAATACTGTGAGACTGCTGCTGCATTGTGATTTCTCAAGGCTACATCATTTGACAATTCTTAGCCTGCAAGGCAGTGTTGGCTGAGTTTGACAGCTTTCCAGCTTCTCCATGGGAAGCCAGAACTAAAGGGGGCATATTCTCCCTTCCCCAACCTCCACTGTGTATCCCTCGTGTTTACATATAGCTTTTGTGTGGATCAAGACCAGTGTGGTCTAAAGGTTTGCCTCCTCTTTCCCTAGGTCAGAGGCAGTCTGTTCTGCTTTGCCAGACAGATTTTACACCTGTCTGTGCACAGGTCCAGTTCAGCCTCTTCGGCTGAGTGGTTTGCAGACTGCATGCTGCCCATCTGATTTGTTTTTTGCAGACTGGGTACAATTGCCTTAGCTCTACTATTTTTGTGCAACTATGCCAAGCAAACAGATATTACACAATATTTCACTTCCTAAGTCAAATAGTCTTGTGGTATGTCTGGGTACAAGGCAAACAGGATGCCCCATGTTACTGCTTTAACTGATATAGACTTGTAGGATATTTGGGTACAAATGCAAACAATATATATTTCTCAAAAAGGTCTTCTCATTGCAAAGCTATCCCTGCTGAGTCTTGCTTCCTGCCATTCTGTAGGTAAACTAGCTGATCCTGTAATGGAGTACAGCATGATTTTCCTTCTTTTGTCAAATCATGTTTTACTCTGCATGGAGTTGGTCACTGGCTCACCTGAGAACAGCCTCCACTCCTCCTCTACCTGAGTCACTGTAAGCTGCCTTCTCCCATCAGGTAGGAGCAAAAGATAAATGTGCATGTAAATATCATGGTGTTTTTTTTTAAAAAGGTAATGGGTCATTCATGTACTTAAGTGTTAAGATTACAATTGTACACTTCTCTGACTTACAACTTTGTAGCAGTAATGATTACTTGTTTAATGAGGGATGGATATAAATACTAGAGGGAATTTTTAATCTCCTGTTCTTCAGCTGTGAACCCCAGCAGATGGTTTCAGTCTATGCAGATTAAGAGCAAAGTAATACATTCTGTATTTCCAGAATAAATAGGAATAACTTAACACCAACTGCAGTTACATTGTGTAAAATAGGAAAGACAGCATTCTAAGCACTGAACATTTACTGATTTGAGCAGATTTTGAGATAATAAATATTACATTTGGCAGTTTAGAATCATCCACACCACAAATGGATCAGAAACTGTGAGAGAGAAGAGTGAATCTGCCATGGAACTGGGATTTGGTTCTCCTTTCCTTTACACCACTCTTCCATTCAAGTCTTTACAGTAACTAATAATACACCTTTTTTATGTTAGAACTAGTTTTGTCACTGGAACAGTTCCTCTGAGTAAAGCCCCTCTTACACCCTATCCTTGTTTCCAGGTTAAATCAAAACATTAAACAGGAGAGTTTAGATGGGGAAGTGCAAGGAAACGATACAATGCTACCCGTTGGTGCGACTGGTATCACTTCCCACAGTTTTAACTGTTGTCATCAGAGCAAAGAAGAACTTTAACAAAGAATTTAAAGGTTATTTTAGATATTCATATATATAGGAAATTTCTCCCCAGTGGGCAGCACAGAGACAGCATGAAAAAAGTGGGCAATACATATTGTAATAGGAGATTCTCCATAGAAACCACCTTGATCAGACCTGCCCACAGGCCTGCCCAGGAGCTCCCACACATTCAGTTTTTGTTCGTGGCTCACCGTCCTGCAGCCCAGATGGTTGAATTCATGCCAAACATGAGCTGGCAATTCCAAGCCAGGCGATCTCTTGTCACTCTGTACAAGAATAATGTCCAGGATGGAGAGAGCATTCTTCTGTGTAAGAGTACCTGCAGTGGAGACAGGCATTTTTGTTGATGAGTTAGTGCCAAGGTAGGTCCTCGTTTACCTTTGAGGAGTGATGGACAGTTAGCAAGTGCAGATTGGACCAGGGATTTTGTTGGACCAACTCCAACATTGGGGATTGGGGATTGAGTGGAAGAAATAAAAAGTGTTACAAATGCAGGTTACCTTGAAAGCAAACCCAAACCTTTGGAGACTAAAAGAAAGCCAGAACTTTCCCTTATTTTGTGGCCAAATTTAGGGAAACAGTGTTTGCAGCAATATTCTGAATGGCTGTGAATGCAGAAAGATTGAAATCACCAGGACATTTACTCAGGAGAGAGAATAGAATATGACATTTACAGAAAAAAATAATAGACTTAGATGTCAGCAAAGTACAAGAGCAGAAGATGCATTAAAGTGGGTTTTTTTTGATGAAACCCCAGATAGCAATTGCATGCTGAGAGATGAAAAGAGAAAGGATGATGAGGCAATAAACGGGAAAGGCAGGTGAGTTCAAGGGCATTATTTAAAGATGGGAGGGGTTAAATCATGCCTGGATCTGTGAAGAACACAAACCAAAGAAGAATGACTAGAGGGCTGAAGTTGATTAAAGATACGTGATGAGTGGGCAACAGAAGCTAAAAGAGAGGGTGAAATTAAGTCCACAGGAACAGGGTTAGAAGAGGAAGCCAAATGGGAAATTTGAAACCTCACCATCTATCGTGGCAGGAATAGCAAGTTGCAGACAGGTAAGCACATAAATGTTTTTGGGTCTGGTACAAGGCTCCTCTCTCTCCTCTCATGCTCTCCAGTGTGAGCATGAATCATTGTGTCAGCTTTCATGGTTAAAGTCTGGCCCAGGCTCTGGCAGTCACATTGTAGGCACTCAGGCTTGGCACTGCATCCCAGAAAGGTCTGAGTGTGCACAGGACACAGGTGTGGGAGGCTCTCATGTTGTAAACAGGACCTGTGTATCACAGTGCTCCCATCAACGTGGCAGCAATTTGTTTCACCACAGGTAACAAAAGTGTGGAACAGCTGGATCCTAATAATCTACAAAGGTATCAAATCAGACTGTTTGTTCCCAACCCACCTAATTACTCTCAAAGCCTTGGATATAAGACAAATATAATTCCTGTGCTTATAATTATTATCCAAGGAGGTGTGAAGGTAGCTCTGAATAGGACTGCATGTTTTGATTTACATTAGGTAAAATAGATTCCTTCCCTGAGGACCCACTTTGATGCAAGGGAAAGGCTGATCTGACCTGGTGATAGCAAGAGCTATTAAAAGAAGCATAAAGTCCTGGAAGGACTATCCAAGGTGAACAAACCAAAGATTAAAGGACAAATGAAAAACAGCTTCTGGTCACCTAGGATGGTGTCTATGTTAATAGCCAGAAGAAAAAAAAAAGTTACTGACTTTTTTTTTTCCCTATTACTGTTGTAATAGACAGGATAATAGACAGGAATGGAAGAAACTTTTTGTGCCCTAGGATAGCTGACAGAACGGGATACGTTTGATTTTAGACAAGATACTAATGCGTTAGAAAGTCAGTGCCCTAAAAGTCTTACTAGGCAAAGTAAAAACTACCCTTTAAACTGCATAATAATAACAACTGCATAATAATAATTTGACCAGAAGTCAAATTAATTCCTGGTAGAATTTTTTTGCCTCTAGGGAAGAAATGAAAATGTTGTCTCCTCTCATGCACAGAGTCATTGTGTTGCGCTTTTTTGTTACTATTTTTCTGTAACCTCAACCCCAAGAGGTGTAATGCATTTTAATTTCTCTTTAAGTAGGTCACTGGTTTTTCTTTTCCGCACTGCCCTCTTTCTAAAACAACTTGTAGTCTAAACCTTTATTTGTTCTCTTTAGAATAGGGAGGAAAAAAAAGCTCAGCAGAAATTTCAAATTTATTTTAGCAATTCTGCTGTATTCCACTTTAACCTCACCCACTCAATACCCACCAGGCTGTTCTCAAGTTCTTGCCTTTCCATCTGCTAGTCCTTCACAGAGAAGGATTTGGGGAAGAAGGCATCCCAGAAAGATTAAATCTGCATACTGCAGAAAAGAGGAAACTTGTTTTTAAAGAGCATGACAAGGCGATGCAACTTGTTACTAAAGCTGCCACCATTCTGGTCATGCAGGATCTTTGCAAAAAGATAGTGTGCTACTGACCATCAGGAGCTTAAAAAAAACCAGGCTAAAACTCCATCCCATTATGACCTTCTTGTATTTATCTCCACTGAAAATTACAGTCACCTCTCCTCCCACCTCCCAGAAGACTTGCAGAACTTGGTAATACAGTAACCCACAAAATGTCAAAACAATAATTTACCCAGTATGAGATAGGAAAAGACCACAGTGAGGGAGCAACAAGAATTACAGTACATGCTGGTAGTAACTGTGTGCAGGGGGATTTATCTCTGATTGCCTGAAAAGTGGAGAGAGCACACCGGTAAATTTTGAGCTTGGGATGCTACAGGCTGTAACATCACTGCTTGCATTAGCTCAGCACCCTAAAGCCCAGCTTACAAATCAAGGGCCCTGCCACAGGAACTGCTGTGTTACTTGGAGCTGGTGAAAGCAAGCAAAGCAATATTCAGACTCCCATCTCTGCCAGCACAAGATATAAGATTCACAGGCCCTGTGGGAGGAAGATATAAATAATAAATGAGCTAAATAATGAAGACTAGCTGTACCTAATTATAGTTCTAGCTGCCCTTTGGAATAAAGAAGCTTCAAAGCTGCTGCAAAAAGAGGCTGATCCCTTTTCTGAATGGTGTTTGAACTTCATAGATCATTAACATGAAAAAGTGAGGAGATGCCAATGGAAGTCACACCAGCCTTTCATAGCCTTGTTGAAGAGAAAAGCATTAAAACAGTTTATTTACACATCAAAACATTCTTCAGCTTAAATTAATATTTAGCCTGAATACAGAAGCAATGTAAGAATTAAAATTAAATTGTGCAGATTATTTGGAAGACATTCTTCCTTATAGTTTTTGCTACCTGACTTGGGAGACTAATTTAGGAAAGTACCTCTTTAGGCTCTGTACCTAGGGAGTGCGAGCATCAGTTAACTACAGAAGGAGTGCAAGCTCCTAGCCTGGGCATTTAGGTATCTAATGCTAAGTATGTGGATGCATTTACCTCCTCATCCCTCTCTATTCATTGAGAAGAACTTGTTCCTTATGCCCTTCCGATGCTGCAAATCAGGGATTATGAATGCCTGATCTCTGGGAACTGAATTTCTCTCAGACTAGGGGAAAAATATGGTCCATGGAATAGGATGCCTTGCAATATAAGTTGGTGGACTTGTGTTCTTTTCCAGCTCTTGGTGACCTTGCAGTTCAGTATACATTTGCCTCATATTTTTCTATCTGTAAAATAAATATAATAATTCTTAATCACATTCTAAAACAGGTATTCATCTTTGGATAATAAAGTCTTAATTATATACCAACTATTGTTGTTTCATTACCAGCACAAACATCTATTGATCTGGGCACGTTTAAGTACTCATTACATATTTCCAAATAATGTGAATAGTAGAAATAAAGGGCAGCTTAAATTAAGATTCTTTCTAAACTTTAAGTGCATTTGCACTTTCATACATAATATGAAATGTACTTCCACATAAAAATGAAATTCAAACTGTTACAGCACATTGAAACAACTGTTTTTGTACAAAGTGCAAATCTAATCAAGGCAATTATAAAAATTAGGCAAATAGTAAACACCATTAGGATGTTTTTCATCATCCCTTATTCTATCAGCGAAAGAATGTTTCATATTATGGTATAGGCTTGCTCATTAGACCTCAGTAACACTACAGCAAAATCTAGGAACATAAGCAAAGTGTAGGCATGTTGAATAAAGATCGGTATGTGTAAGAGGTACATGGTAAAGAAAAAACATATCATGTGTTACTAGTCTGTAGTATACAGAACAGACTATCTCACAAAGGAATGCCAGCAAGTCATCTTTGAATTTAAGCACAGATTATTTTTTTTAATTTAAATATATATCACACCGTGTTGTATAACAAAATAATTTGACTAAACCATGCATCAGTGTTTTAGTGAGTTGATATCTCAACTAATCCAAAACATTCTCTTACTTACTCTCTTATATATTATGTGATCTATATACAATACATATAATCACTTTACTGTACAAAGGATACCAAGGTTATAAGCATTTTATCTGCATTAAATACACAATATGGCTTGAGCCCATGTTCATTGTCATTTTCCACCATCTGCTGGTACCTGCTGCCATTTGCTTCAAGCAAACTGCAGAACACAAATGCAAATTTTTCACCTCTAGTACTCAAGCCATGGAAGAAAAGTGATCATCAACAAAAGAACTGAAATATATTCATTCTATAAAATGGACTGTGAAAGCTCCTATCTCACAAATCATCGGGCCTGGTCCTCAGATGAGGAGCATCAGTTTGGTTCTCTCTCTTTCAGTGGAGCTACACCAGTTTCTACCACCACAGAGGATATGGCCAGTTATGTGTAGCAGTGTCGTGATCCTTCTTTATAAATGGCTTTTCAGATACTCTAGCACCTACTACACCTTTCAGTTTTCTGTGCTATAGTAAGGATTATTATCATTCCAGACAGCCTCCCCTACAGCAATATTCCCTGGTGTTCATTTCCAGTTTGGTTCTTAACTGTTATTCAGTGCTGTGGATAAGTAATTGTGGGTTATTGGTTTTTTTTCCATGTTCCATGTGCCTTCTCATTTTCTTTTCAGTCACTGTCTTTCTGCAGTTATTTCTCTGAAGAAAAATGTTCTGCAGAAGTGGTTCCATGTACAACATCTACACTACCCATACAGTCATCTTTTGTAGAGGAAGTTCTTTCTGTGATGGCAGTAAATATCCATTCTAATATTTACAGTTCTCGTGTGAGTGTGTTAAACAAGCAGGCACTTCATTGCCTGCTTTGTCTCTGCTTCGCCTACAGAAACGGGTCTCAGATCATACTTTACACTAATTCTGCTCTTAGCACATATCATTTTTTTTAATAGTTAAATCTAATCTATCACAAGCATAACAACACTTTTTCATCTGAAACACTCCTGGGTATACAAGCCAGTTTTTTGTACGGTGTTGCAATGTAAAGATTACAACTGAGAATATTTTGTTTTCCAATGTTTATGTCTTAATATGATCCCTTGTGTTTGTCCCATGTTTTCACACTTCCTAAAATAGGTGACTGCACTATTTAAATTCAAATATACTTATGTATAACACTGAGGTTTGAGAAAGAGCTTTACAGCCTTTTATTTTTCTCTTTTACATCACTGACAGCAGAGCTGATTGAAGGTGTTTTAATGGGATAAGAAGCCTATGATACCATTTAGTAGTATTTATGTTCTCTCCAAATGACCTGTTTTCAAAAGAATATCTTCAAACGGCTTGCCAGCATTCACAGTCTCTACACTGCAAATTTTACTATTTACTATTTTATTACTTTATGTTAGAGCATGTATTTGTGGATGCCCCAGCCCTGGAAGTGTTTAAAGCCAGGTTGGATGGGGCTCTGAGCAACCTGGTCTAGTGAAAGGTGTCCCTGCTCATTGCAGGGGGGTTGGAACTGGATGATCTTTAAGGTCCCTTCCAACCCAGACCATATGACTCTACGATCATAAAATAACTAAAATTGAATGTTTTCAAGTGTGACTAGTTAGCATTACTTGTAGTGCTATGGCTGGAGTTACTACTTTTCAATGTCAGAAAACATACAGTGAATGTCTGTACATGAATAATGGATTGAAGACTAATGAAAGCTTTGTTTATTTTTGTATTTCAAGATGAAGAGTAATGTAACAGTCATTAAATATCCCTAGTATTATTTCCATTTAAATCAAAAGCCTGAAAGCAATTATTTGGCACAGTGCATACTAATAAAGAAATCCAACAATACAGGAAATAATTACTTGATTGCAAGAATAATTGCCTAGACTACATTTGCAGAAAATAATAGATTTATCTCTCTCTCTCTTTCTAGTCCACGGAATTAGAGCTTGTAAGGTTCCTGGGACAGGGTGTAAGGTTACAGAAATAGGTGGTCTGGTCATTTCTCACCTGTCCTTGCACACCTGCCCCACTGGAGACATTGGTACCAGTATATAATCTGCTGCATTTTCAAATCCTTGTCAAAAGAGTAAACACAGGGAGCCTTGTTCTCCTTAATGCAGCTTCCCTTATCGATGGGTCACACTGGAAAAGGAATTGTCTGAAATCATTTGGGTGCAGGACTTTGGCACTTCAGTGCATATAGTATGCAGAATGCAAAAAAATAATGGGCCACCCTTCAGATCACCGCAGATACTGAACTACCATCCAAGGCCACACTGCTTTTTTTTAGTATTGTAATCTGATTTTAAATTACAAAATAGACTGATTTTAAATTACAAAGTTATTCCAAATGGGGTTTTTTTGCTTGTCTAGTAACACATCTATGAAGTGCAACTGAAAAACACATATTGGGCTAACATATAATTAATAAATTACTGTGATTATCTATTTCATAGTATAAAAATGAATGTTTATTAATTTATCTGCGCAGGAGCAGTCTCTGAATCTAATCATACATGGCCTCTGCTATTCTTAGACTGTATGCCTAGGGCAGATTCTCATCAGGATACAAAAATTTAGCTTAGCAACGGAATCTGTAATCTGTGCTTGAACGTTGCTGCACCATTATACTTGCTCTGCTTTGGGCAGCTTGTAAAGTGTTTTAAGAACTCATCTCAAGGAAGCACACAAGTAGAGAAATTAGGTTTATAACCAGGTAAACACTTAGTCAAAACAAATCAATGAAAATAGCAGATACCGGTAGCAGCACTTACATTTACGAATGCTGATAGTGTCTCTCAGCATTGAGGAAATGAAGAATAAGGAACAGGAAGACAACCACTGACTACAGTGAACTCAAATGTAGAGGGCAGTAATCTAACCAGAGCTAGTACCACATCCTGCCTGACCTGTGCAAATGAAAAGTATTCTGTTAAAAGGACATTAATCACAGTAACAACTGCCAAATAATACATGCACATATATACACACACCTGTATGTATATATGCAACTATCTGAAAGAGTAATAAGTATCCTAAAACGTTCTTATATGTGCACTGCTTATTGTTTTGGGCTTTGTCTAGAGCTATCTGTTGTGATGCACCATGGCACTTGTCTCACCATATGCACGGGTTTCTTTACAGGAGCCTTCCAGGTGTAACTACATAGGCATGGGCACTGTGGCTCTGTCCAACCTGGCCTTTTGTCCCAACAAGTGCCCTGATAGAACATTTTATCAGTACAAATCCGTCGTGTAACGATGAAATCTTTTAAATAAAATTCCGTTTACGCTAGTTTAGTTAATCCTGCCTTCTTGAATGTTTATACAAAGGAAAAAAAAGGGTCTTTTGAAACAAGTAAGCAGATGAAAAAACGAGTTAACATTGTGGGTGAAGGAAAATGTTGTAAGGAAAGATGAAGTTTTGTTCTACCATGTACTCATAGTGTCAGCTAGCAAATCGTCACAGTTTTTGTAGAAGTAAAATAAACATGGATAGATTTTCACTGTACACTGCATGAAATTAATAAGGCTGCACCCCTGAGAGCCAGGGTAGATGAGAGGATGGGGAGTGCAGGGGAGATTCCTCCTCGGAGAGAAGCAGAATACGGTAAGAGATGTTGGAACATCAGGTGATGATTTGCCAATCTGCAATGCTGAGTACTCATCGATATAAAATACTTCCTCCTTAGCTGTTATTTGAAAAATGTGAATTTATTTCGCAGTGAAAAGGGTACATTTGCACTCATCATAAAACCTGAACAGTAAGGGGTCTGAACAAGGATGGACCTGCAAATGATGTTCCTAACATATTGCATCCAAGGAAGAGCCTGTTACTTACATTTGCTCCAGTTCCAGCATTACTTGAATTACACACATGAGAATCCCACTGTGCTGGAAAAGACCTCTGATCATGGAGTCCAACCTGTGACCAAACACCACTCTGTCAACTAGACCATGGCACTAAGTGCCACATCCAGTCTTTCCTTAAACACCTCCAGGGACAGTGACTCCATCAGCCCCCCGGACAGCTTGTTGCAATGCCTAATCGCCCTTTCTGTGAAGAAATTCCTCCTAATGTACAACCTAAACCTCCCCCGTCACAGTTTGAGGCTCTGTTCTCTCATCCTGTTGCTTGCTGCCTGGTAAAAGAGACCGAGCCCCACCTGCCTACAACCTTTCAGGAAGTTGTAGAGAGCAGTAAGGTCACCCCTGAGCCATTCTCTGAATGTTTCTCTGAGGCCAAAACCACAATCAAATGTTTATTCCCGTTTTGCCTGATCGAAGGAGGACAAAACACAGGTGCCAGCAGTTCAACCATTAAACGTCCTGTTACACCCCAATCAACAACCGGGTATAAACAGGCGGAAAAGGCAGGCCGGGAACCCCGCGGGCAGCAGAGGGAAAGGACATTCGGGACGGGCCATTCGGCAAGGGACATTCGGCAAGGGACATTCGGGACAGCCTCTCCGCCCGGAGCGGGCAGGCGCCGTGCCGCGGCGCGCCGGCGCATGCGCGGTGCGGGTCTCCTTGGCGCTGCAGGAGGGCGAGCTGCAGGCCTGCAAGGAGAGAGATCGGGACAAGGAGAAGGAGCGGGGGTCGCCGCCACCGCCGCCGCCATGTTCCTGTGCGCTCCCCTGCGCGCCGCGGCCGCACGCTCGGTAAAGGGGGCCCTGCCCGCAGAGGTGGGGGAGGCCGAGGGAGAGGAGGGAGGGAGGCCGGCCAGCCGCGGCGAGGGGTTGGGAGTGGGGGCTTGGCGGGGTAAGTCGGTGCCTGAAATCCAAGCCGAAGTACCACGGACTGTTCTGAAAGAGCAGCCTGATCAGCTCAGTCTTCTTAGCAGCGGATCGTGTCGTTTTACCTGCAGCGTAGTTTCACAGGATGGCTGCGGTCTTTCCCTGTCATGTGACCTCTTCCATTCCTGGAAGAGCTCAAGGCCCTGTTGGATGGGGCTCTGATCAACCTGGTCTAGTGAGAGGTGTCCCTGCCCACGGCAGAGGGGTTGGAACTGGATCATCATTAAGATCCCTTCCAGCCCAAACCATTCCGTGATTCTGAGGTTCTGCTTTAACACATCTCAACATTGCTCTAGAATTCAGTATCAATATAATTTAATATAAAATTAAATTTGTTATAGAATGATTACTTACAACAAGATACTATTATCGAATTACCTTAGAAATACCAGCCAGAATCTAGAAACTTTGATGACAGTGAGTACAGAGAATATCTGAACAGAACTTGTGTATGAGTCTATGTTCTGCTGACATTTCAGGTTTGTTTGCATTTGTCCTCTTATGCCTGATTCCAGTGCTCGGTTCAATAAAGGCTGAAGAAGCATGTAAATGGTTACTGGAGAAGAACCTCAGTAGTAATGATGGTTTTTGCAAATTTTAAAGTGATATAAAGTAACAAATTGGAAAATTCTTCATGAAATGTTTGATGAGAAGTTTTCTTCAAGGCACTTAAAATAAACAGTGGTGAAGTTAAATCCTTTAATTTCTACATTGTTTCAATTGGCCAAGGGGGGAGTCAAGAGACTTGCTCTCCTAATAATACAGGAGAGCCCTTAATAGTCTCTTCTAGACTCAGTTTAAATTATTAGTGATGGAAGTGGAATTAATGGTTTACAGTTAGAGTAGAAATCAGACTGGTTCTGAAAGCAGTGTGTGAATTATTAACTATTAACACTGTGTTTTGTTTGTAGGTAAGACAGGTCCGATACCTGCACAGAACAGCAGCACAAAATGCCACTGGAGCCTTATTTGTGGTAAGTGATCTGCCTTGCTGTAAGGGAGATGTGTCAGGGGAGTTTGGTATGTGCTTTTTCTAATCTCCCTAAAAGCTTCTGATTGTCACAACTTTGCCTTAGAAACCTCCTGGCATTTACAAAAAAGTGTTTTATTCAGTAGAACTTTTTATTAGAGTTGTAATGGAGTATTATCAAAGGGCTTTATTTTAGGTTTTGGCCTTTTTGGCCTTTCCCTATATAGTGAAAACTCTCAGTGTATGATTGCAGATGAGAGTTTGCTTAGACTTTATTTCATTATAAACCTGTTCTTATTTCCTTTATTTATTGGAGTTAATTGAGTTTGTAATTGAAGCTCATTAAACTTTTTGCAGGTGCAGTTTCTTGATTTCTGAAAATTGCTGCAGAATCACACTTAGGCTCAGGTCTTAGCCCTATTTACAGGAGTTGAAAAGTGCTTGTTCATGTTATATATGATATAGTGTGTTGCACAATGACTCATAATTGAGGTCATTGGGCATTATCAAGATATGTATAAATAGTAATAGTGATTACAAAAAATAAAAAGTCCTCAAATTTAAGTGCGTAAAGCAGCTGTGTTGTCTGTCTACCTCTGAAAAGAGCCTGAAGCATCTCAAGAGAGGTGTATTCTGTCCCATTCTATTCCATTCACAGCTTTAGCTGGTCTGCAGTTTAACAACTGAATAATTTGGCATTTTCCCAACACTTGATAGAAATCAACCCTTTACTAGAGAGTTGACCACTGTTGAAAACAGGTGCTCAAGCATTTTTGGACAGATTTGTTGTTGTTGCCCTTGCCTTTCTGCAGCTGTCTCTACAGCTTTAATCATAAAATGAAATTAATGGCATTACAGTATGCGTTTTGTATACTTTTCCAGAAATCTGAGCAGGCATTGATGATTAATGGAGCGAGAGCTAGCATTCCAGGAATAGAGGAAACATTGTAGGCTGGCAGTTTAGGAAACTTCAAGTGTAGTTGGAGATGGGTGAAGACAGGCAAAAAGTGTCTTTGGGCACCCTAATGGATGTTGATGCCTGACATATGAAGCTGTATAGCTTTGTAAATTCTCCAGGAATTTTTCAAGATTTATGTAACTGTTTAAATTATTTGCTGCAGGGAGGAGCCTGGAAACAGAGAAAGAGAAGTAGAAAAGCTGAGTGTTTTGCAGCTGTTTATTTAATAGCACTATTGATGAATATTATTCTGCAATGGAATTTTTGCTAGAGGACCACAGGAAATACTTTCTGTGGCCCATTTTTGTTGGTTTGTTTGGGGTGGGGTTTTTTTGGTTGTTGGTTTTTAATAGGGTAATATTTGTTCTTCAGTGAAGTAAAAGGCAGTGAGAAGACAGTTGGATGCCATTGTGTGTGCGTAATTGTTTGCCCTAAGTAAATGTCAGGTGTTATTTAAAACAGCAAATTTCAAGGGGAACTTGTCCTGCTGATTTAAGCTGAAGGCATTATTTTAATCAATACCAAGTGATTATATACAGTTAAAAAATGGGACTTCCCCCCACATTTCTCTAGAGGAGAAAAAAAATTCAGAGAAGTCTTATTTTTCTGGAATAATATAAGCCAATGAAGTGTCAGAAGTTGTTAAAAACTGCTTGTAGGTGAATAGTGGGCTTACCTGGGAGTAAGTCTAACCTGTTTGGTGGTCTTCTTTGTATGTCAGTTTATACACCTATGTCTTGGTTTTGTTGTGCAAAGCATATCGGTGCTTCTTGTTGCACTTTCCACATATAAAATCTATATGCGAGGAGGGGAGATGCATGCAGCGTATTTGTTTTATAACAGCAGAGGACAGGCTGGCAGGGGACCTCGTTGTGTTACATGTAGTATTAAAAGGCATTTCTGTTTTCTAAGCCTATGCATCCCTTTGCAGACATGTTGCATGTTAGCAGAAACACACAGAAATAAGAGAACTTTTACTGAAATGCCTTTTTGTTCTGAAACATCCAAGAAGAGCTTTCCTCTCAACCATTAAACTCAATCAGGTGCCATCACAGGCAGCTAGATTGTACTTCCAGTGAGAGTATATCAAGTTTAAAACTAGGTAGATTGTTTGCCAGTTGTAATGTAAAAGTGATGCTCCAAATCTGTCATTTCTGACTAGGGAAGGCCCAATTCCAGAGAGACATTTATTAGAATTACCTTTCTCCGTTGAAAGATAATTTATTGTAATTTATTATAATTTCTTTGTTGAAACATGCACTCTTTTTGACTTTTACCTGTCTTTAGCCTCCTTAGCAGCTAAAACTTAGCTGTTCTGTTTTGTGGTTTTCAACACATGGACTGAATATCCATAACACATCAATTGCCCTGATGTGGTCTTTGTCATAGGGGCTTCAGCACAGGAGGTTAAAGAACTGTTCTATCATTGTTTTAGTTACTTGTGACAATGGTCAGTGAAATACTTGGGTTTGAGAGCACTTAGGTTTATATCTTGAGTTCTGCTGGAATACTGAATGTAGGATACTTTCCCTTTAGAGAAGTAATACATTTCTTTTCAGTGCTCTTTTGATATGGATTCTTAACAGGTTGCTGCCCTAAACATTTTCTCCCCTGCAGAACACAAAATTGTCTCAGTTTGGTTTCCCATGCTTTGGACTGGTGTTTTACCACAGGGGATGGATCAAGTTTCAGGCCAATTTTTTTGCTATATTCTAATTATTCTATTTTAATTTTTCAGTGCTCTTTAATAATTTTCTGTTAAGAAAGACAGCTGATTAGATCACTGAAAAAAAAAAATGGCCCAGGTTGGTGTAGCAAAAAGAATGTGAAATGACCATTCAGCAGCCTTAGTGCCTACCATGGGAACATATTGGCATCCATGGATTGGGTTGGCCTTTGCAGTGCAGGTGTTCATACTTAAGTAGGTTAGGCTGAATGCTGCACCACAGATGTGATACAGTCAAGATATGAACAGAATGAAAACATTGTGTAAGACTTTGGGAAATTGGGGAGTATGAGACAAGACTCAAAAAAATGCATGAATAGTGCTTGACCTTTCTTTTCAACAAATTACTGTAGTTGGTAAAGACATAATGGTACTCAGTTTGTGTGTGGAGGAAGCCTTAGTATATGAGTTTCTTTTCATAACCATCTCTTAGATGAGGAAAGAATGAGACCTGGGATTCTTTGAGAAGACTGGGGGGGGGGAGGTGGATCTTAGCAATGTCTATATATACCTGAAGGGAGGGTGCAAAGAGGATGGAGCCGGGCTCTTTTCAGTGGTGTCCAGTGACAGGACCAGAGGCAATGGCCTCAGAGAACATCAAGAAATGCTTTTCAGTCTGAGGGTGATGAAATACTGGCATGGGTCGCCCAGAGAGGTTGTGGAGTCTCTCTATTCTTGGATATATTCAGAAGAAGCCACCCGGACAGTCCTGGGCAAGCAGCTCTGTGTGTTCCTGCTTGAGCAGGGGGGTTTGGCCTAGATGACTTCCACAGGTCCCTTCCAACTTCAACCACTCTGTGATTTAACATAGTATTCTTTCCCATACTGTGTCCTCATTTCTGATCTTGTTCTCCAGAATCTGTACTGTAAAAAAAGGTGGAGATGCACCTCTGTCTTGTAGGAGCAAATAAGCGCATGCAAGTCTCAGATAAATGGTGCATTGTCAGACAAGTGTAAGACTAGGGAAGATATAATATATTTCTAAATGCTCAGGAGGCCCAGAACTGTGTAAGCTCTCGATCAAAACTATTGAACTCTCCATGGCACAGAATTACATCAAGCCCTTTCAGGAAAATTGAAAACATAAAAGGTGGCATGATCTTATTTAGTGCTTACCCCTGCTGTAGCCTTTACAATACATCGTGGAACCTCGCTCATACAGCGAGGTTCAGATACAGATACAGATACAGCTGTATCTGTAGCTTCCAATATAAAAGTCTTTATTATTCTTCTACACATGTAGGGCATTTAAGGATACCAGTTTAGAGATGATACACTGAAAAGAACAGCTGCTCTAGACAAAGAGAGAGATTTTAATAAATCAAATATACTTATTTGCAAAAGAAATTGAGATGAAGTACAACTGTAACTATCAAATAGCTATGGAAGGCAAAATAATATCAGTCTGAAATAAAATAGGCATGCAGATTTGAGAAGAAAAGGCTAAGTTATGGAAATACTTATCATGAATCATGGATTTGACCGGTGCAGCTAAGACATATAAAGGTCTGTAAGGGAAAAAAATAAAAGTTGCACAGTAATTCCAATCATTTTTTCCTCCATCAACCTTTTTTTGAGAACTTTGATTAAAATTGGTAGAAGACCCTCACCAACACTACATACAAGTCGTCAAATTGTTTATCTGGAAGCGTCAATCTGAAATAGTAGCAATTGTGTTCCTAAAAGCTGTTTTATCTTGTAAACTACACAATAAGCAATAAATACATACCCTTTGAATACACTAATATTTTATTAGGTATCAGCTATCTTTCTGTAATTCCTTTTATTAGGGGAAAGTCATCCTTGGTGGAGCAGTATTTATCAGCTGTAGTTTCTGTATTTGACTTGAAACTGTGGTGAGCCTACATGCTTTCAAATTGATGGTGGCAGTAGAACTGTCTACTTTGGGATATAGACAGGATAAACAAAAGTAATCTCTGGCTAGACCAGCAGATATAATTGAAGTATTTGCCCTTTCAATATTTCCATCTTAAAGTTTGTAAATCCAAGGATAGCAATGGACATACATGTTCTAAGATCTCCACTGATGATGGTCTTTCAATATGTGAGTATCATGTAATGTTAAGATTTTTCATTCAGTCCTTTGCTGCTCAATAAGAAGAGTACAGTGTGGCAACTGCAAAATCATCTTCAGTTACTGGAGGACATGATCAAAGTGAAAGTCAGCAGAGGGGGCTTCTTTCTTCTAAATATACTTTCAGAGGTTTTATTATTAGCTGGTTGTGGATAACTTTTAACATGAAGCCTCAAATATAGCTTGCATTTTCCCCCTAACTTCCCACTTAACAAGAAAATTTCTCAGTTTCAAAATTGTGTAAAGTTTGGAATTAAATTTAACTACAGGTTAAAGGAAACCATAACAAGCTGCTTAGAGACATATGAAAATTTTGTGCAGAAAGGTTTTCTGGTGAATAAGGATTTTCATCAGAACTAAGGTTTTATTACAGGAAAATATCACTTTCTTCAAGACTTCCGAATTTGTATTTTCTGAAAATAGAAGAACTAATTTCAATTTAATGTTTCCCTAGAAGACTACCTTAAAAATAATATGATAGAATACCTTATTTTGGAAATACTAATTCAAAATTCTGCTTTTTCTATTTTGATTCAGAATAATATATAACATTAAAGTTTCAAAATCATTACAAACCAAAAGAATGTTTAAGTGGATTAATAATGTGTGTTCAAATGTGCAAATGTTTTAGTTATATAGCAAGCTTCTTGGTAAATTTTGAAGTTTGTAAAATTAATTTTTCATGGTAAAAGGAGAAATGGGCTTTTTTTTTTTTAGTTTCTTGTTTGTTAAGGTATTAACCAGAGGACTCTTAAGTTTGAACATAATTGCTGAATTGTATTATCAGTGTTAAAGTGTATTTTAATAACAACACCATATTTCTCAATAAATAATTTTTAATAGGAAATAACATGAATAAGTAATGATTTTTGAGTCATGACTTTATCAATATTTTTATAACTTTTCAAAATACATTTAATCATTTGAGTAGTATGAAATTTTTATCTGGAATATATCATTTTTACTTAAGCAACTCAACTGTAACTGTTTAATGAGATGTTTTACAACAGTAAATATGTCCTGAATAATTTCCTGAGAACCTATTTTTATATGCTTTTCTTTCTTTTTTTTTTTTCCCCTGAAGCACAGAGATAGTCCTGAAAATAATCCAGACACTCCATTTGAGTTCACACCTGAAAACCAAAAGGTATGCAGACAAAAAAAGGTTAAATATACAGACTTTGTCTTTTGATCAATACTGATTTGTTTTCCTTCTTTCCCTTTAAAAAGCGAATAGAAGCGATCATAAAAAACTACCCAGAGGGACACAAGTCTGCAGCTGTCATGGCAGTACTGGATTTGGCCCAAAGACAGCATGGATGGTTGCCCATATCAGCTATGAACAAGGTATTTAGTAGTTAATTATGTTTGAAGCATCATCTTACTGTTTTCTTTAAATATCTTACTAGAATATTAACTTTTATTTATCGAAGCATACTAACGTGGGAATTGACATGTGGCACAGAACTGTGAGAATTCCCTACAAGACTACATTTTTAAAAATAAAAGGGAAAACTATGCAGAAAACTCAGGGCTCTGTTGTTTACATAATATTAGCCCATTGCGAGAAACTACAGACAAAAATTACATGAGCCCTAGTCAGGTAGGCTCTTTTCCCAGAACCTTCCTGGAAGTAGGAACAGAAGCTTCAAAGATTTTGTTCTTTGAATTTGGGGAAAGAAAACAAAGACAACGGTGGTGGGGTTTTTCTCCTCCCGGATTAGTGGCACTGCACACATTGCCTGGATTGTACTTAATCTCTAGGTCTGTAAAGAGACCTAAATCTCTGGGTCTCTACAGAGCAGCATTAGTGTACTAGATGTAAGGAGTATTGTGTAAATGCCTCATAGCAAGTGCCTGGAAGACTTATCACATTATTTATTAAAATTGTTTCAAAATAAGCAGGGGAGCAACTACACTGCTCCAAAGTGAGAGGTTGCGTGACAGTAACAAAATACCAAGAAAAAAAAATCTTTTATATTCATACAAATAAATCCATTGTATTTTATGTTACAATCTGGCATATCATCAGTTTTAAAGTGAAAACATTTCAAGTCAGTCAAGATACGCTAAGTGAGGATTGTTACAGAAATTACTGAAGGAGTTAAATGCGCATTTAAAGAAGAGAAACTCATGTTTCTACAGCGTAACATAAAAGCCTCAAATCTCCATTAATGCTGTCAAAGTATTTTTGTTTATTTAAGTTCCAGATTGATTTTACATTTAGAAGGATCTTAAGCCTTTTAAGTGAACAGATTTTTTTTCCATGATTTGTTGTTTGCATGCTATAGAAACTGGAACATAAAACAGTTAGACTATTGAAACTAGAGCCAGTTCTCAACTTGAGCAGTTTGCCAGAGTTCCAGGTTAATGAGGTCAGGGATACTTGCAGAACTTGCTGTGTGGAGATCGTGCTTCACTCCCTATTTATTAGCTGTGACACCAGTCTGCAGATGTAGCCATGGTGTGTCCCAGAACCTGAGGGAGACGTGCTCTGTAAGATTAGGTGAGCATGGTACCAGCCTATAAGTATTCCCTTACCAAAAGGTTAATGTGGGCAGACTGGTACAAGTTTGTTCATTCACACAGCAGAAGTGCAGTGTGAGCTGGAGCTGGCATTGAAAGCTGAAACCCAGCTGACTCCTCGCATCTGCCTGTGTGACACTAGGTGCTGGAGGGGAGTTGACTCCAGCTCCTTGCTTTTCTAATCTGTGGCTTAGTGGAGTTTGTGCTCAAGCACGGTGATACAAGTCAGAGTAACTCAGGTGTCTGGTCTTGGCACTTGGAATACATTTGTGCTTTGATACCCACCCCCTCACTCTTATTTATCCATTACTGCAAACAGAGGACAGGTGACTGTATCGAAATGGTTTTATAAATGCCTTTACTGCTGCCCTGTCAGAGTTCAATATTGCATCTGTTTTCCCTGTGTTACAGGTTGCTGAAGTTTTGGAAATGCCTCCCATGAGAGTGTATGAAGTAGCAACCTTCTATACCATGTACAATCGCAAACCTGTTGGGAAATACCATATTCAGGTCTGCACTACCACACCGTGCATGCTGCGGGACTCTGACAGTATTTTAGAAGCCATTAAGAAGAAACTCGGTATGACACAAATTTGTAATACACTTGTATTTTTTTACCTTTGGTTAATGATACTGAAGTAAAACTCTTCACATGGGAAAGAAAAACTGGCCATGTTTGACTTAGTAATGTTCACATGGGCCCACCTCTCTAGCCTGTCAGGCTCCCTCTGGATGACAAACATGATATTAACATAACTTAGGAATTCTCCATGGAAAAAGTCAATTGTGAATGGTGCATCATGTGGGATGTAAGGAGTACTCCTTGGTTTTGTGTGTGGGTTGGGTTTTTTCCTCCTTTTTGCATGGTTATGGGGAGAAAGAGAGGGTAAGATCAGCAACTTAACAACTCTTCTCTTCTATGAAGTCAAAAGGTGTGGTTATGTTTCCCAAGAACCAGTGGTAAGAGCTGCAGAACAGCTGCTGATTATCTTGCATTTCATATACTGCATTGTCTGAAAAAGGCATATTTAGATGGAATTTGTCTTAATTTGTTACTGCAAAGATAGCTTAATTTCAACTGAAACTCTTAAAACAGTAAGGATGATTCTGTAGCTTTTACAGAGACAGAGGCCTTACCTAGACTTTTATTATTTATTCCCCTCTTCCTTCTAAGAACTGGTGGAAAACTGCTTTTCAGCATTCAGGGTTCCATGAGTATTTTGTAGAGATCAGACTCTGTTACTTTGACTAACTTGCCTTTGGGGAAAGTCTGCATCTGTAGCAGTGGAATAATGTCATGGAAGCTAGGTATGTGTACAGTGTTGTTCAGTAAATAATCCTTTGTGTATAAACTTAGAAGTTGTTTATGAACTTGCAGCTAGCGATGTTAATGCTTGGATTGTGTTAATTTGGGAATTTAATACTCAACACTGTATATTAACATTTCCTACCAGCACATGAAAGCTCTGTTGTTTCCCTACTTTGTATTACTAAAAATGTTCCTGAGAAGATCTGTTTCTTAGAATTGTCATTTCATGGTTATTTCTCAATGAATTACACCTGTAAATGAGGTTTCAAAAATGTATCTGAAAACTCACTTCATATTTTATTAGCATCTTCTGTTCAAGGGAAACATTTCGACTCATTTAAGAGGGTTTAACTGTGCAAATGCTTGTCAGGCCAAAATAGAAGTAATGCAATGTCTGTGGAGTACTTAGATTCATGCTTTATTCCTCTTGCACAATAACCACCGTTGAGCCTAATATTGTTTATTGGTTTAGGTATAAAAGTTGGGGAAACAACACCTGATAAACTCTTCACGCTGATAGAAGTGGAGTGTTTAGGTGCGTGTGTAAATGCACCAATGGTACAAATAAACGACAATTACTATGTAAGTACTAAATTCCTTTTTAAAAGATTAAATTTCCTTTCTGGTTACCTGTATTTTCAGTTTTTCCAGGTTCTGAAGTTTTAGTCAGTTTTCAAATTTCTACTGGCAGGGACAGCTTATAATGTAGAGCATCTTTTAGTTTCTTGCCCTCTTCCTAGAACACTTCATCTGTATGGATTGTATCATTGTATTTTGTATTGCATAAGAGGAATGACACATTTTTGTGATAGTGGTCTGTCTATAAATCTGGAATTTTTAAATAGGTAGGTATTGGATAAGCTTCTAGAAGCACTTGAAAGCAGTCTGTTGGAAAGCATGGATTAGTTTAAGAAGTGTTCTCTTGAACTGTACTCACAATTTTTTGGGTCACAGCTGGCAGCATTCTGCACTTATGTGCAGTGCCATGTGTATAGTGGGTAGGCAGAGATCCAGCTCACTAATACAAGAAGGAAGCTGAAAATGCACATCCTTGTTGTACAAGGCCAGCATCACCATTGTTAGTTTTAACATAATTTCTGCAACTATACAGAAACCAAAAGTTTTAACATTAAAATGACAGTAGGCTTTTTAATCTTCCTAATTCTTTAAACAAGTATGTGTGCTAATGAATAGGATCAAAATTACCTATTCTCTTAGGTCATACCTAAGAGAATCACTAATCTGATGAATTTTGAGTTGTGCAATTAGCACAATTGCTGACTCTTCCAGGTTTTTAAGATTTAGGGCTTTTTTTTTTTTTTTTTTTTTACAGGAAGATTTGACACCCAAAGATATTGAAGACATAATTGATGAGCTAAAGGCTGGCAAAGTTCCCAAGCCAGGCCCAAGGTATGCTATATTTGTATAATACTACCTTCTTGAATGCTGATCCTTCTCAGATACTGAGTTACTGTTCCAGTGATTTGAGTTCACCACCTACAGCTAAAAAGCATTAATTTACTGAACAGAACTGCATGCATTCAAAGTCAAAATTAACTGGGAAGAATTGAGAATTTACATGTTCTTGATGACTGACCAGAAGAGCATGAAATGTGAAAATATCAATTCTGATTTGTCTTAGTACTTCTTAGGTGACTGTTGGATATGTTGTCTAGATCATTTAAACCAACAGATGTGTGTTGGTTGGTTCATTGTATTGTTTTTTTCAATTTCTGAGAAAACACAAAAGATTGGAGGTTTGCAAAAGGGTTATTATTGCTGAACTTATCTTTTTTTTTTCCACTGTTCTTTTTTAGCCCAACTACATGTTTGTGTCAATGGACAAATTAATTTGTCTTAGGTGTTACCTATTCCTATTGTTTCTAGAAAGATTTTTCTTTTTTTTTATACAAGAACAATAATCCTAAATCAGTTAGTTTCAAAAAACACAGGGAAGCATCTGTAACAAAAATAGGACTGGTAAAATTGGATGCTGCCTGGCCAACCTATAAATAAATATAAAACTAGTGGTCCTATCTTACATTTCAGTTATGGAACTATTTGAATTTGAAACCCTTTTAAGAGTAGCATCACAGTTCTTTTGAAGGATGAATGTAAAGAACAAAAAAAATAAGTGGCTTCAGCCTTAAATCAGATTTGTAACTGTCTTCTACCCAGTGACCAACAGAAGCTGACATTGTAACAATACCAGCAATGAGTAAAACTGCTTTCATTTTTCAGGAGTGGACGTTTTTCTTGTGAGCCAGCTGGTGGCCTTACTTCTCTGACTGAACCACCCAAAGGACCAGGCTTTGGAGTTCGAGCTGACCTCTGAGCATTTTTGTAATATAAGATGAACTGTCTGAAAATAATAAAGTATCTGTAATCTAAGTAAATTATGTGCACTGTTTGTTTTCTTACAAAAAAAAAAAAAGTAACAGCAATTAGAATATCAAATTTACCAAGGTTTTAACTCTGCAAAGCTTAATCATAATTCCAGATTATAAGAAAAGTTGTTCTGTAGACTGTAAAGTGACTCACTGAATGAGTCCACGTATGATCACTGAGAGGTCAAAGTTGCATTTTTTGATCTGTCCATGAAAATTCTTTCAACTTTTTATAAGGTTCTTGGAAGAAACAACAAAACTCACTAAATTGCAATTCTGGCAAATGCACAAGGAACCAAACTGAAAGGAGATTATCTGACAAAACTTCATCATAGTATTTTTATTTCCACTTTATAAACAAACACATACAAACAGGAAAGGTTATCTGAGCAGCATTGTGTTTTAAAAAAAATAATAATCTGGTAGGTTCAGTAAAAAGTGATTCTTCTTGATCTTAAGCACCATACAGTCACTAGAAAAAATGTGAAAATTCTTTTTATCATGTTACTGAAAAACTTCTCCAAATAGCAGGAGTACTCTACTGAAAGAATGAACAGCAACAAGAAGTAACTTCCCCGACAAGTTTATTCAGTAGAGGCAAGGTATGCAGTTGAGGGATGACAGAATATACCACAACAGTTCAACACATGGCTAAGGGTAGTAATATCTGACAATGGGGATTTGATCTGCAGTTCCTTCTTTGACCTTACTGCTCTGTGCCAGCTCTTTTTAACAATCTGCGGGAAATTGAGGCACTTCTCTTGATATAAAAAAGATATTTTGTTTCACAATAGACTGCATGTTGATGCTTAATACCTATGCTTATAAAATTCAGCAAATGTGTATACACCAGGCATACATTTCCCTATAAATTAGGAAATGTGGACACATCGGTCACCTGAGAACATTGTGTCTGCCTCTTCTAAAATCTGCAATGGAACTTACATTCTTAATGTGATAGAAAAACTGTATTATTTATGATTTTATGTTATATTTGGTTTTGATAGTCTGATTAACAGCAGTTCCCGAAACTGTGCTCCCTCTTGTGAGTTAAATTTTGGTTTTACAGATTCCCTGCATAATGAGTATCTCATGTAGTCTGTTCATGCACCACCTTTATTTCAATAGGCTCTGTGAAGTGCCTTGATATATTAAAAAGTAGTGTTACAGGTGGTAATTTTGAGAGCAAAATATACCTGTAAATCATTTGTATTATAACCTTGCTAGCTCTTCCATATTACTAAATTTATAAAACAAAATAATCCAACTGCATACAAATGGAAAAGTAAATTTAACAAATAAATACAAGTAATGAGTGAAGCAGTTTCTGAATAAGCATGCAAGAAAATTTTGTACAGAAGACAGTGCATTGGAGAAAACAGTACATGGCATGAAATATTATCTGTCATTTGAAGTTCCTGAATGCTCTTCTGAAAGGTCACTGTGTTTGTAATAGCCTCAGGCCTTGCAGCAGGCCAGGCATCTGGCACTATGTAGCACTTTGAGACATGAGACAGGGAATATTATATCTGGATGCAAAGACAGATTCAGTATCCCAGTCTAAGCTGCTTGCTCAACTATAACAACAAAGTTGTTTTCTATTTCATACAGCCTCACCTTATTTTAACCTGATGTGAAAGCAAGAAAGTATTTTTGAAGTACATGTTGGATAAAAAGGAGGATTTTGCATGCATTGTGGAGCTATCATGTACTGCAGATACTCAGTTTTGTACCTAAATCTGAAATGAATGGGATTGCCTAATCATGTTGAAGGGAAACATAGTTTTAGACCTGCCAAGTTTCAAACTTCCAAGTATACAAAACCAAAGGTCTAGAATGGCATGCTCTTCTCATTTGTAAAGCCAGACAGAACTTGTGGCCTTGTCCCACTGTTCTTCCCTATACATTATACCTGTACATGAAAATTTTGATGTCTGTCTCATCAGCAGAACATGGACCTCAACAGTTTCCCATTTGTTAGAGACTGTTACTGATATTCCATAGACAAGTTGTGAGTCATTTTGATGCAACATGTAAGAGTCTGCTAATCACTTGCCTAGAAAAGGATAATTTACATTATCCTTACTGTGTGGCAAAAATCTGATACATCACTGTTTAAATTGAGTATTGTAGGGCAGGTGTAGGACTGTGAAATAATTGAAGAAAATAACCATTACTCTTCTCTCTTCCTACCTACTTCATCAATTATATGAGGCTTTATGATTCTGGTTTCTATATCAAAAAAGTTTGGGCAATCATTGTATTGAGATAAATCATTAAAGAAAAAATTCACATCTCGCATTATTTCTTTAAATTTGAACATTTCAAACATCTCACCTAGAAATACATATTCTGCAACCCTTGTTACATATAGTTGTTTACTATATACAGAATTATTTCCACAGTGGTAACTTATGTGGGAATGTGATGAGAATGTTAACAAAGTTATAATTCTGAAAGAGTTCCAGAACAGGGCAAGAAATTATATATCCAAGTTCCCTTTTCTGTTCTTGAATAGCTGTACATAATACCTTGTGTTCATTTTTACTAACAGTAAAAAGGTGTATTCTACTAGTAGTAGAAAAATTGAGGTAAGACATATTAACAGGACATAATTTTCATTATCCTCAATAGCACAGTGTTACTAATATTAATTCTGGGCAGTGGCACTAACCTGTCAAATAATTACACACTTGAAATGCTGCAGTTTCAATCTACCAGTTAATATCCTGGATTGTAAGAGTACTGGGTGGTACATAAGCGAAAAATGAGTCAACTACAGCAACACTCAACACATTCCTGAAACTGGTAATACAGCAGCAACAGAACTGATTCTGTCTTTTTACTGGTCTTGTTTGCTCCTCTTCAATGAGGGAAAAACTAAAGAACTCACATACTATATTAATTCTCTGAAAGTGGAGGAAAAAGAATTAAAAAAAAAACTGGAGGAAAAAAAGACTACCTAGAGATGATTTTAAAATAGGTAGAGTCTGAAGAAAGAAAATGTGATTTAGAACACAGAAGCAGAAGACACAAAGCATCCACTGGACTGAGAGAGTGGGAGGTGGTGGTTCTTTCCTTTGGTAGAGTAATAGAAAACTCCACTTGATACCCAATGATGTGTTTGGTGTTGGATAACAGAAAGGATTTCCATGGCCACCAGACACTGCTAGAAGAATGTCATCTGGAACACTGTTCTGTCATTGAAAGAAGCAATGAAATTCAGTTCCACCTGTGCAGAATAGTTCCTGGGCCCAGTGGCTGACCTACTGTTCTACTAAAGGCTAGTGCGTGTGCTTTCCACCTGCATGACATTCTGCAAGTTCTTAGGATCAAGATTTTTGTAATGCAGTCTGACATTTTCAGTCCTTCAATTAGTAGACTGAATTCAGCAATGACACAGTTCTGCCAGATGCTGAACCTGTTTGGCTTGATTAAGACCAGTAATTCACATGCCTGGTAACAGGATGTTTCGCCAGGAAGAGCGAATCAAGGGAAGTGCTTCACACACCATGTAGCTACAAAATTTTGCAGCTGTGCTTTATGTAAAAGGGATGGGCTTCTGCAGACAAGGCGCAGAAACTAATGTAGGGGTAGCAATTAGCAGTCAACTCACTGGTGCTTTTCATTAGTCCAAACAGTTTTTCAGTTACTGATAGATATTATTATCCGATCTTAACATCTGTTGCAGATGTTGCTCATGAGACTCAGCTGCTGACTCTAAATCCCTCCTAACATGCACCCAGCTCCTGGAACTGCACGGTACTCATGCACAAAAATCAAAACAGAATCACAATGCTGTGCCACATCTGTAGCCTGTCATGTTTTAGATACGAATCCCTGTACAATACTTCGAGAAATTATTCTGCCTTGGGAAACAGTTCTTACTCCACTTAACGCTGACATTCTACAGGCTGCTGCTTCAATCCACTCGCCTCTCAAATGACGATCTCTGCAATCAACCTGACATGAAAGAATATGAATTGAAGGCAAATCCCTTTGTTATATGGCCACTGATGCTGGCAGACCTGCTCCTGACAGTACTCACTGTACACTAACAGAATCAAATGAAAACGAAGGCAGTTGCTTTACAATACAAATGACCTGTTTCAGCATTTGTATAGTAAAATTGTGAAAGAAAATGAGAGAAGTTTACCTAAACAATAAGCTGTCATGCAGCATGAAAATATAAGATTTGTGATGCTTTTCTCTACCCATGCTGGTACATGATGGGTGGAGATCTAAATATAAAGCAAGTCCACAACAGGCAACCTTAAAGTAATCTTGTAATTCTGAAAAAAAATTTGCTTTTCTGACTTGAGTAATAAATATTAGGGATTTTCTACACAATAACAGACGATCCAGTAGTAGAGTGAGCACAGCAATTAAGGCCACGCTAAAGGGCTTTGTTTAGCTGCCTTCTCAAAATACTACACCTGGCAGCTACACAATCTTCAGCAGCTCCCAGAAGCAATGTGAAGAGCATTATTTGGGAACCCAACACTACAGCAGTACACAGGTTCCACAAGTCTCACCATATACTACTGTTTTAATAAGCAGATGCAGAACCCTTCGCGAGGGCAAATGAATGACCCGTTTCCAAGGCTGCAACCACGGCTAGGACGTCAGTGTACTTCAGAAACCTCTTTCCATGCGTTTATATGACGTCTGGCTAATTGGTGTAAGCAAGGCACCCTCAAAAAAACTGAGCACCTGGAAGTCGTCTGGTCCTGCAGCTCCACGCCTGCCCCTGCCGGGAGGGATCGGCAGCCGAGCGCGGATGGGGACTGTGCCTGAGCCGGGGGGGGATGCGGCACTGACCAGATCCCCAGGCGCGGCGGGATCGGCATCCCGCAGCCTCTCCCGAAGGCGAACGGCCCCCCCCCGGGCTCTCCGGCACCGCGCCACACGCACCTGCGTCCGGGGGCTTCTCCCGAAAGCTGCGGGACCTTTAGCCGCAGCCCCTCCGTACCGGACCGTGCCCGGTTCCTCAACGGGATGGGATGCGC